GCGAAAACGCTGCCGTCACCAGTTCGAAACAAAACACCACGAAGCTGTAGGTAAAAAGCTAAAGTCGTGAGCCGGGAGAGGGGGCGCGGACGCTACCATCACCAGCAAACAACTCACTTACCTTCCGTAATCCTCAGAATCGACCTGTTGCAGCCCTGGGAGGGCGGAGAACTCCGGTCAAGAGACAGGGGCTTCAGACAACGGGGAAGTTAGCGAACCGCTTGCGAGAAGAAAAAAGGAGCAGAGCAAAGGATGACACCAGGCTATATAGCTTCTGAGTGGTCATCCGGTGTCACAGGTGTGACTGTTGGTATAATTACTCGAACTGCGCATGCCCGAAGGGAACATTCAGTGCTTTAAGCACCGCCCTCTGGCGGTCAGTAGGGATGAAATAGAACTACGCAAACTTACATGAGAAATGTAGCTGTACATCCACAAAATATAGGGTACTTTGTTTCATAAAGCGCAAAAAAGACATTTTTGTTTTTTAAAGCCCCTAAGGGGTTCAAACAATAGGCCCCCCCATTTCAATAAATGAGTTTTTTTAGACTAGAAGAGTTCTGCCTTTTAAGACAGGAAAGTATAGCAGTTAAAGTTGCTGCTTGAGAAAATACTTAACCATAGAGATAGAAATAGCCCTGTGATTCAAATTATAAATTGTATTTGGAATAAAAATGAGAGAACTAGGGATGCTAAAAAACACATCCTCCAAAGACAGATATTTACATGGGAATTTGGCATATAATTAATTGACATATTACTGATCTTGCTGGATTTTATTCTGCTTTACTTCCATACATTGCAGGATCTTCTTTTCTTTATCTTTGCCAGAAGATTTAAACTTTAAAAGCCTTGCCCTCATAATTTGCAAGTTAATTTATTTATAAAGAAAATATAAACGCTGCTTAAGCTAATTCAAATGAAATTAAAAGTAAAATAAGTAGCCAACCTTATCACTGTCTGTAACCTACTAACACGGTAAGAAAAGCATCAGATGAGCTACCTGAGAAACTAACGTTACGTTTCCCCACTTTAAAACCAAACAAACATAGTTGCTCACCCTGCTGATCAGCTCTCTTCACTGCCATCGAAGGCTACAACCTGTTTTCTTTTCAGGTGCTGCGTCATAACAGTGGTGCTTCCGTGCCATGTTCATTTGTTTTGACAAAAGTTGCATGTTACGACTTTTTTCACTTTACAAAGCGCAGGCTATTATAATTAATGTGATTAATTTGCGCCGTCAATCCCGGCGCATGCGCGCTTCATTTGCAGTCTGGACGCTGAGGGTAAACTCCTCACTAATATCCTGCGGCTCTGACTGCAGCGCTGAGAGGGATTCCTGTGGGAGAGGGAGAAAGGGGTTGGGATGGGGAAGGCGCCCCACGGCAGGCAAAAGCCGCCAGTAAAACCGTAAAAAGTCGCCAGATTTGTCGCTAGTCGCTTTTTTGAAAAATAGTCGCTGGAGGGGTCTGAAAAGTCGCTGAGTTGGCAACACTGCAACTGCGGCGCTGACTCGCTCCGCCATATTTTTTTTTCTTCCCCCGGATGACGGCAGCGGCGGATGACGCATTAATCGCGCGACACAACTAATCGATGATTAAATTCGTTGCCAACGCTTTCAAAAGTCGATTTTTATCAATTTTATCGATTCGTTGTTGCAGCCCTATTTAATTTAAAAAAAAGCTTTTTCTCAGCTGCACTTCTTTAGCCTACGTCACAACATCAACCAGTCCCTGATTGGTATCCGTGCTACGATTTCTCAAGAAAGTTAAGATTCTCCACTTCAGAGGTCACAGCTCCACTCTTTTTATGTTCTGTCAAGTAGCAAGAGGTGAGATTAGAGCATTGAGGTCCTCACTGTCCTTCCCCAAGCAGTTTACATAGGGATACTATGTAGATCAGGGGTGTCAAAGTCGTTCCAGAAAGGGCCGTGTGGCTGCTGGTTTTCTTCCTCCCCCAGCAGTAGCACACCAGACTCCATTCATCCCATCAAGTCATCAGGTTAAGACTAGACTCACCTTGATGAGATGAATGGAGTCTGGTGTGCTACTGCTGGGGTGGAAAGAAAACCAGCAGCCACACGGCCCTTTCTGGAAAGACTTTGACACCTGTGATGTAGATCAATCACCCTCGCCTCAGATTGGGCCGGAGCTTATTCTTCCAACAAGATAATGATCCAAAACATAAAGCAAAATCTACAGGGGAATGGTTCACAAATAATCATATCCAGGTGTTAGAATGGCCAAGTCAAAGTCCATACCCAAAACTAATTGAGAATCTGGAAAAGAGCACTGCAAATCGCAAAGGCTCTCCATCCAACCTCACAGAGCTTTTTTGCCAGGAAGAATTGGGAAGAATTTTTGTCTCTTTTTGTTCAAAACTGTAGAGATTTACCCCAAGTGACTTGCAGCGGCAATCTCAGCAAAATGTGGCACTGCAAGTTTTTAACTAAAGGGAACTGAATAATTTTGCAGACCCATTTTTTGTGTGTTTTTTTTTTTTAGAAAAGTTTAAAATATCCAACACATTGTTGATTGATTGTCGATTCTTCATAAATAATACATTTTCTATCTTTATGTTTAAAGCCCGAAATATCGCAAAAGGTTGAAAAGTTCAAGGGGGGCGAATAAATTCGCAAGGCACCATATGTATGTGCCCAATTGTCATTTTTCTAATACTTATATACTTTATTTCTGACTAGTCATTTGAGCTTATTGAACAAAAAATTACTAATGTAGTCTGTACTCTCTATTATATCAACTTTATCATTGTTTGCTACTCCTCCACAAACAGCTCACAAAAATGAGAATAGCCAGCCTTACTTAGACAGTAGCTTGTAATAATACACTACACCCTGTGAGGTCTAAATAGCCATCACAATACAAATGATCATAAACTGAAGAACATCAGGTTTAGAACCATATCTAAACATAATTTCTGTTATTTTTCTGCATTTACTTAGACTGGGTTTGACATGCATCACTGGTGTTTTCATTCATCAGCTGATACTCATTAAATGATGCAAGATTAAGCAACACTGTTGACCCTTTTAGATGCAATACTTACTTAAAAAACAACTAGCTATAGTGGTGAACATATCAGCATAAAGCTGATGCAGGAGGTAAAAATCTTATTTATTAGATTTTTTATTGGGTAAGTTTTGTTTTTCTGGTTTTTCGAATATAGAATTTCTCGCAAGTCTTGAAACTGACTCTCCCCTTTTATTGTACTGTTCAGTTTTTTTTCTATCCACCATATTCAAAATGTGTCAAGTGACTTTTCAACCCATCATTCCCATCTTGACATCTCTTAAGTAAGAAACTCAGCTCTTCTACAGCTCTGTGACTTGAGGTCATTTTGTTCAAAATGCTCACTAAATGTCAGAGGCGGTCAAGCGCCTCCACAAGAACACAAATTGCCCTAAAAGCTGCTGCTGGCCACCTATCCATCGCATCGGTGCTTTCTCAGGTCATTGATTATGACGTTTAACCCCTTCATGGCTTTTCATTTAGGCAAATCACTGTCAAATGATATGATTGGCTATGATGGATGGTGGGTACGTTTGTGATTGGAGGAGACAGTGGGCAAAACTTTCCTTGAGGTGATGTTATTCTTTGTACTATTAAAAATAAGTATTAAAAGAGAAAAAAAATCAACACCACATATGTTTTTATATATAGATTAATTAAGGATAATTTTATTGGGTTAATTAAAATACCGTTTGTCATACTTTAACATAATTGACAGTAATTGTTTTAGGCTTCATTGTAAACACAAAATAACTGTTGGCTTTGATGGCTGAAGTGTTGGCTAAATTATTATTATCCCCTTTGGTCCACAGAATGCATCAAAACCAATTGATAGGATGGAATCATTTAGACATAATCTGTAGACTCATTGTGTCCGATGACCATGAAAAAAAACACATTTTTTTCTATCTGGAGCCAGAAAATCAGAAATGTAATACCCAGAGAATCACTTGGTGCCAAGTGGAAAAAAAAATTGTAATATGTTAGTAATGCATTTGCTAAATACGTCACAGTCACCACATTATATCTGGAGGTTTCTAAATGATGACGCAAGGAAGAGAGAATCGCAGCACTATAGTTTGCATATTTAACTGCACATACAGTATATTTTAGCAAAATCAAAAGTTTACATTGTAAAATAACCAGATGAATGCATTCCACATTATACATGTTAAATGGTTTCATTGTTGATTTTTTAAGTTTAACCTTATTAAATCTTAGATGCCTGTGTCTTTGACCAAATGCTTTAGCACCAGTCTGTGTTTATAATAAAGAGTGTAGTCAGTCTTATGTTTTATTAAGCGAATAAACCCACTAATCTGCTATTTTTTTACTTTAAAATTTGTGTTTAAAAAGCTTTTCTAACAGCATGCATCATTTAATTTGCAATGACAATTTAGGGTAAAGAGTTTTATTTAAAGGCCATCATAATTCCCTGCAAACGTCACATGCATTCATATTTATTTATTAATCACAAATATTATGATGTTTAGATTTTTTTTACAAATAAAAATGTAAGTCATTTTGTGCATGTGAATTTTAATTTAAGTTAGCATATATGTTTATGCATTTATAACTTTTAATTGCTTAGGTAGGTTCATATCTGTGCTCCAGCTCCAATCCTAACAGGCAGAGAAAAATGGCCAAAGTGGCAGCATGGACAAAAACAGATTGAGCAAAACAGAAACTAAGCACCAGCCTCTCTGTTAGCTGCTTTGCACTGTGAATAAATTTCTAGGCACTGAAAGACTGCTGCCAAATGAAATGCTGTCTGTTTACATACTGTTCAAGTGCAAAAGCTAGCGGTTGACACGGGCAGCAAAGTGTGATTTTGCCCCTACACAAAGAGTCACAGTTCATATTGCACCAGACCAAGTGTGAAGGTCTCGTTTAGCAGATAGAAGAAAGAAAAAAAACGCGAAGATGGACACCAAAGCTGTCATCAGCTGTAGTTTGTTGCAAAAAGATTACCTCTCTCTGTTGAACTTGAGGGAATGGAGGACAGCTGGTCTCTTCTGCCTCAGGTTCCACAAGTGGATGCTGTCATCTGCCAAAGCGCTCACCAATGCTCCCTGTTTCAGCAGAGATGTAGGTTTTTAGTTTCTTAAACTTTTCTTTAAATAAAGAAAAACATTGAATACACAAGGTTTGAACTGATTTTTTCATAAACACGTCCTCAGAATGAATTTTTTTTCTCCTCTGTGAACATGACATGCATTAATCACATCGCATTCCCAGGCAGCTTGCTCCCAGGTAACAATGATGATTCATAAGATGTATAAAAGTGTATGTGTGCATGTAGGAGGAACTAAAATCATCTCCATCTCCCTGAAGGATATGTTTGAGCTGCTGAGTCACAGTCACACAGAGGCAGAAACACACACACACATAAACCAAACATGCATGACTGAGTATGAAATGCTGCTTTTACAAAATACGTTTCAGAACATAATCAAGTTGGTTTCATTATGTGACTCAGAAAGGCCAGGAGGTAATCCAGACCACTGGACCACTGGCATGTTTAAGACTTCATGATTGCAGCTCAGAACATGCAGAACATTTGTGTAGGTCTTACGGTTTACAGCAATGTATGAACAAGATTTAACATTTAGGTTAAGTAGTTCAATATTAAGAGATAAGGATGGTATTATAAGTAAAATGTAACAATAATTACAATACAAAAGCTGTAATCCAGCATTATTATTTTTTTGTGTTAAAATTGATACTCTTAGCATAATATAAATATAAATGTTTTTAATAAATGTTTCTGTTTGAGACATTTTTTTAAACCACCGTTACCTTAACTAATATCTTACAAAACGTTTTACAGCCAAGATAACTATTAATTAAACAAAAAATTAGGAGTTTAGAAATATTTTTCTGATTTTAAAATTGAGTAGTTCTGATCAGTTTTTGGTTGGACAAGAACCCAAAAAAAGTTCATACAATCAGGGAATGCAGATGTGCAGATGTTGCACAACTGCAACATTTGCAGTTTGTAACATAGCAAAACTATCCATTGTTTGTATAAATGACATAATTAAAAATGAAGTCAGAGAAAGAAAAATGTTGCAAAAGATCTTAGTTTAATGATTAAAAAAAATCTTTTTTTTTTTTTTTCTCACAAAAAGCCTTTTGGAAATATTCGAGTTGAAGTTTCACATCAAGGGCAAGGTTTTCCAATCCAAATCTCATGGGACTAAATCATTTAGATGCCTCCTATCCAAACATATCTGAACTAAATACATTGATCCATTTATGGTGAAGTTTGGTAATAATTATTTATTTTTTAATTTTGAAACAGAGAAAATCATAGAAAATCTAAACCTACAGATCATCAGCAGTAATTAGGGTTGGACATCGAGAATTGATCGGAACCGGTTCCAACCATTTGATTCTCCCGATTTTTTTTTAAACGATATCTGCCACGCAAGATATATATTATATTATAGATTGAATAAAAAGCACTTATATCGTGATTGCCAGAGTTTTAAGTAATTTCAAGCAGAACTTAATGGTGTGTTAATTTTATTTCCTTTGGATTCTTTTTTTACGTGATAAAACCCACTACCTGCACATGATTGTATGATATCCAATCATTGCTCTGTCCAAAAAAATAAAACATTACTACTTCCAGATAGTTGAGTGGAACTGAGGTGCAGTGAATGACACCGAGGATATAAACAGGAAGGCATCCTGCTGTGCTGCTTTTTCCTCCAGCTCAGACATTCGGCTTAGCATTGCACCGAAGTCGGAATTATGTAAATAAAATAGTCTTATACAATATAAGCACCTGAAGCATCAGACACTGGATATGTCAAAATGTGTTTAAATTATATTTTCAAACAGAGAAAATATGAAAATGCAACACTTGGAAAAGAAAATGCTTATGACTATATTAGAGTTCATAGGTTTCATATTCATATACTGGTTGGATATAACTATGTGCTTAGTGTGAGGGATTGTATTTGAGTCAATGAGTCGATGCAATCAACTGGTTTTCCTTAGATAGAAAACTTTTAATCAATTTGACTGTATGATCTGGTGAACTGTAAAGTGCCTTGAGATGAATTGGTTCTATATAAATAAACTGAATTGAATTGATTATTTAGTCATTATTATTATTTAGTAATTCTACACAAAGTTGATTTTTATTACAATTTAATTGAGAAATTCAGAGGATTTTAACCAGACAGAACTCCAGTGAGCCAGCTAATTTAAAACATGTAAACTTTTTATTATCCTTTGTCTAACAAGAATCAGATTTAACAGGAACCAGAATCAAAACGAGGAATCTGAAACAGAACGGATGTCTAGCAAACGCTGTCAGATTGGCATATGCTTAGTTTTTATCTAACCTAAATTATATAAAGTATACCACATATAATATAAACCACAGCCAATGCTTTCTATGATTTTAACCATAAAAACAATATATAACCAAATTTAAATTCCTGCACACACGTTTTTTACTACTAAAGCAACTTATTTTTAACCAATATTGACTAATACGGTTTTAGCTATAAAGGTTTCTTCTGTCAACATCCTGGAAACTTCAATCATGTCTGGTTGTTTCTGCATCCAAGAAATAACAATATAATCAAAGCTGATTTTCTTTTTTAAAAGTTAAAATAGACGTGTTTTTGCTGCTACTAAAATTCAATGTGGGAATAATTCTCTGTTGCGCATGTAAGTGCATGCATATTAGAACAATGTATTCCTATCTGTTAGCATGATGCTATTTTGAACATAACTGCTTTTGGGAACAGACGTTGCTTTTAATGTTTACAATGAATGATACTAACCAGAAATGTAAGAGCCTATATATGCTTTTCTGGATACATTTTACCAGCAACTTCTCCAATATATACACAGATAACCCTTACCTGACTGACATAATTATTAGCCTTCTATAGCATTATGGCTAATGTATTTTATGCAAACAAAATATTTTAAACAAATCTTTCAAATGTAATTGAAGAACAATTCTTAAGTAGAAATTAGAATTTGTTAAATCCAGAAAAATATACAATAACAAAAAACAGATTCAATATGAATCCCGAATCTCTGATTAGTCAATATAAAATATGGGAAATGGATTCAGGTTATTAAGCGCTTACTTAATGATAACAGCTATTCAAAGTTGGTTCCCACAAGTCAAATTCATCCATCCGCACTTAAGTATATCCATAGATATGTTGACTATACTGGAAGGTAAATGTAAGTTTTGCGTTTTGAGTTGAGCATCTCAAGCAAAGAAAATAGATATATATAAGTAGAACCTACCTCATTAATGAGAAACTGCAGCTGGATAACAGCTGCTCCACCTTCATGCTGACAGTAGCACTCAACACCAGGGCGACCAAATCTAGGGGATCTCAGTCAAGGAATGCAAGGTTACCACAAAAGTTATGCAAGCTTCAACAGGAAAATGTTAAAGTGAACAATAGTCTACGATCAACTTTAGTACAAAAACTATTTGCCAAGCTGATAATGAAATAACACATAGCCTCGGTAAAATATATGACTTACAGGAACACGTGAAGAACAGAGTAGGCTCATTTTAAAAGCAAATAAATCTGACCATGGCCATAATTTGTTTTGGCTGTATTATTCATTAATCCTGCAATGGCAAGTCTTCTATTTTGAGGAAAAACATTTAAATATATTTCAATATTTTTGCTGTCTTTCAGGACAACAGCAAAACTTTTAGGAAACTGTATGGTTTGATAGATTTCGTGTAAAACATAAAATATTTAAAAAAAAAAGAGTACTCACCCAGAATTAAAGATTATTAGGAAAACATCAGGAAAATATAGAAATTATTTGTAAAGAAAAACAAAGTCTAGAGTTGAAAATATTTCTGCTGTGTATTTTATCCACAACATAGTCTACTAAAACTAAGAAAATCTGCAAACTTACTACAGCACCTGAAAAAATGAATCTCCTGACTAAGGCCACAAACACTGAGCACAGATCTTTGTTGGGAAATAGTAAAATAGGTGATGGGAATAGAAAAGGTGAAAGTAAAATTACAGTTTAGAGTTGAAATATCTCAAGAGCTATGGCCACATGTACTCCTGGAGATAGGAAAGCTATAACTACCCTACAGCCTTAACTATTTGTATTTATTGAATGAGTATAAATACAGAATGTGTTTGGATAAATATTATATTCATTTTATTTATTTTTTTTACATTTTACTATATACTGTTTATTTTGTTGTTTACTGAGGGGATAATTGTTGTGTGTTTTTTTTTTATAATTTCTTTGTACAGTAAACAGAAAAGAATACAGAAGAAGACATGTATATTTTTAAGGAAATTATTAAGGGATAAGAGGATTCTTTCTTTATTTTCTTTAGGAGGAAGGAAAGGAAAATGGAAAAGAGGGGAAACAGAAAAAAGGACAGAAAAGGAAAGATAAAAAAGGTGCCCCTTTTCTATTTTATGCATACAATTCTCTTGCACCTGTAATTTACATTATTTGAATTTAATTCAGTTCACTTAAAAATGCTTTATTAATCTCAAAAGGAAATTAAATTTTGCATGAAATCATAAGTTGTTTTTTCTATATCGCTATAGAAATCGGATAGCTGTAGGCAGGAAGAATCTTCTGTTGCGGTCTGTCTTGCAGCAGATCTGGAGAAGCCTCTGCCTGAAGACACTTTGTTGCCATATAAAAATCTTCTGAAGAGGATGCTGTTGTCCATAATCTTCCCTTTCGAAGAATTTATCTTTATGAAATAATCTGCAAAAGGTTCTAGAGGAGTTGGTCCTCTTTATTAACTTGTTGAGTAATTTGCTCTGATGCTGTTACCCTAGCAGATGATGGAGGAAGAAATCTCACTCTCCACACCAGACTTATAGAAGATATGTAGCATCCTAAAATGCTGGGTTAGGATGTAAAGTTTGCTCTGTCCCAGCTTGTAAACGGCTTTACAGTTGTTTCCCCAATCCAGTTTGTTGCCCAAGTGAACACCAAGGTATTTATACTCCTCAACCATCTCTACTTCTTCCCCTTTGATGTTTATAGGATTCAACAAGTTCCTGTTTCTTCTGAAATCTACAATTGTCTCCCTTGTTTTGTTGACATTCAGGAGCAGATAATTATTTTCACACCATGTCACAAAGCAATTCACCAGCTCTCTGTAGTAAGCTTCTCCATCTTTGATGCACCAATGATTGCAGAGTCATCCAAGTATTTCTGCAGATGACGAGACTTTGTCTAGTACTAGAAGTCAGAGGTGTACAGAGTAAACAGGAATAAAGAGAGGACTGCCCCCTGCCGTGCTCCTGTGCTGCTGTCTACTTGATCAGACAGCTGATCCTTCACTCTAACAAACTGTGGTCTGTTTGTCCGGTAGTCTTTGATCCAGGCTATTGTTGATGCCTCCACCTGAGTTTTGGAGTTTCTCACCTAATAAGCTGGGCTGAATTGTGTTAAATGCACTGGAGAAATCAAAGAACACAATCATGCCAGTGATGTCTGCCTTGTCTGACTTTTATTGTTCATTTTCAAAGATTTTTATTTATTTATCATAACTTCTGTTAGTTTCAAGTTGTTTCTGAGACACTTCTGGGTTTTTCTTTAATTAAACCAACAAGATTTTCCATGTGTACATCTGTATCACTGTCTTTTTTGGCATTATGTTCTTAATTTAGGTCCAAAAGCAAAAACTAAAGGAGTAACATTTACCCGGTACTCATTCAGTAAATGCATTTATATGTTGTCAAAATGTAAACTTAAGACAACAATAATACTTCAAAAATTAATAAGGCAGACGATCAAATATTTATCAAATTAATCAGCAAAGAGAAGGCAGACATTATGCTGGAAGTTGTAAAAATCATTGCAGAGAGAAAATGGAGGGGACAGAGCACAGATGCAATTGGAAGAATAACCAATGATAGATACAGAGCAAGGAGAGCAGGGGGAGAGGAGTAGAAGTTTTGGAAGTAAATAGAAGAGGAGATAAAGAGGAGGAGACTGACAGAGAGTAACGAGTTTTACTTTTCAAGGTGGATGAATGGGTAACGTTAGTGATTATATCCATTAGTTCTTCCTAAGAGCACCAGAACTAGGATGGGGGTGGCGATTTGTCATGAAGGACACATGGTGGTGTAGCTATCATGAAGTCAACAATGCTATTGGTCATGAAATATATTCATGCACAGGGGGGAGTGATTCCATGAGGGGTCAGCAAAGCTGCAGAAACTTTTAGAGCTTTATCAACCATAATTTAAGAACATTTATAAAACCAAAACTCAAATAAATTGAAAGAATTTATTAAATCCTCCAAAATCTTTATTTACATATTTAGGGTAAAAAGAGGTAATCAGCTTCCTGAAAACTGCGACTAGATATATGTAAGGTAAATTAGCCTGTTCTCCTTTCCCATAAAGATTGTATTCCAAAGATGACAACTTAGCAAAGTGATGACTTGACAATAGAGGATATCTACCAGCTCTAGTGGTTTAAGGCCAATAAGCCTCCAGTATGAATATAGACACCTGAACTGCGAAACCAGTGGGGGCAACCAAGTCATTAATGATCTAATCTTCTATCAAGTCACGTGGACAACTAAGCTTAAAAAGTATGAATATTACTAGGCATCTAAGCTTGAATTAACCTTTAAGAGCCTAAACTGTCTCATTCACAATGTAGAAATCCTTTTTCACTAATGAAGGTATAACCTACACAATAACAGGCATGACATGGGCAAGTATTGCACTTCAATTTTCCAAAAGGGACCGGGTCAAATGTTACTCATTCCAAATATAGGTGAGGAAAAAGTTGTATGATTTTAAATCCAAGTACCTTTACTCTAAATGCTAGAGAATCTACATTTGAGATTTTATGGAAAATATAAATCATATTATATGGAGTATCTTTTATAACTACAATCTCAAATTGTTATAAAAGCAAAAGATATGGTTCATGGGTGTATTTGTTGGAACTGAGGTTAGTGGCTTTTTAAAGAAATCTTGTCAAAAAATTAGTTATTTAGGCATAGCTTTTAAAGAACAATGTAAATTGTGGAAGACAACAGTACAGTTTTTGTGACTACATTTACCCCCAAAGATAAGAACCTGGAACTTAAAAAAAAACAATGAAAAACATAACTGTGTTCCTGTGAGATATGCCAGTTTCTGTACTTTGTTACAATCTAGTTACTATAAGCAATAAAAACTAATAATATTAGAGACTTGTGTCCATATACCCTTTCTCAGAGGCTGTCTCAGGACCAGGACCTGCTCATGGTCCCTCGTATTGTTCCATGACCACGGGAGATTGCTCCTTTCAGGCGATCCCGCTGGCCCTCTGGAACAATCTTCTGCTTTCCTTGCGCTTACTTGATTCTGTTGATGTTTTTAAGTTTTATTTAAGTGATGCTGTAGCTGTTTATAAAAATTGTTTAAGAAAGCACTTTAGTTCTGGTAGATTAATGGTTGTTTTTTGACCATGTCTTTTGTGACTGCAAATGTATTTTAATTTTGTGAAGCACTTTGTGACCTCTATGTCTGTGAAATGAGCTATATAAATAAAGGTCACTTACTTAAGTACTTACTATAAAGTGAAACTGTATAATTCATGTATTCAGACATTAAAAAAGGCAGGCAAACTGGTAGGGGTTGAACTACTACGTATATGTATGTAAACAAACTGTCACAACTAAAAAAAACACTGTTCTACTGCAGCTACGGCCATGTTAAAACACCAAGTAACCAAATTATTCTCTGAGGTCAAAGTTGGGGGAAATTGCCTACTGATGGTGGTCAGAGGGCCCGGTGGCGCCAGTGTATGGCAGCTTTGCTTCTGTCAGGGCAGCTGTGGCCACATTTTAGCTTGCCACCATCAGTGTGTGAGTGAATGTGTGAATGACTGAATGTAGTGTAAACCACTTTGGTCAAGTTTCCTGACTTGAAGAAAAAAAAAGCGCTATGTTGCGCTTATTTTCTTGTAACAATCAAACCAGCATACCTTATTAGATTTTTTTAATCAAAACAGTTCAAATGTTTCTAATACTTTACTGACTTAAAGCTCCAAGGAACAGCTACAGCATCACTCTTTCCCTCACAAAACTATAAAAAACTGTTAACCACTTTCACATTTTTGTTATGCAGCAAAAAAGGAAGTTATCTTTTAAAGGAGCTTGTAATGACAGAAAGTCCTCGCTATCCTGTAAATACAAACCTTCTTCCCCATGACAAGATAATTGCATCAAAAGTTTTCTGACTATTACAGCCTACCAGCATGCACCAAATCACTGTAACCCCCTGCGGATGATACGATAGAATCCAGATGTTTTCTCCGTTTGACCTAGCACACAGTCATCCTTTGGGAGACCCCCCTGGCAATAAGAGT